AAACAACGAGGGGCTGAAAAAGGCCCTCCGTTTCAGGCTGGAAAAACTCTGGGCCTGAAAGGCCAAAAAATAGGCTGAAACGGAGTAGGGCCTGCAGACCCTTGTATTTCAGCTTTCAGGCTGAACGACGGGGGCCTGTAAGCCCTAAGTTTTAGGCTTCTAGGCTGAAAGTGCGGGACGGGCCCTCCAGGGCCCATGTGGCTACGCAGTATGCCACACTCTATCTCCCTCTATCTCTCTCCCTCTTTCTACCTCTTCCTACCTCTCATCTCTCTCCCTCTCTCTCCCTCTCTTTCCCTCTTCTCTCCCTCTTTTGCCCTCTTCTCTCCCTCTCGCTCGCTCTCCCTCTTCCTGTCCCTCTCACTCTCCTTCTCCCTCTCTCTTCCCTCCCTCTCTCTCCCTCCCCCCTCTCTACCTCCCTCCCTCCCTCCCTCTCTCCCTCTGTCTCCCTCGTCCTCTCTTTCGCTCTGTCTCTCTCCCTCTCTCTCTCCGTATCTCCCTCTCGCTCTCTCTCTCCCTCTCACTCTCTCCCCCTCCCTTCTCTCTCTCGCCCTCCCTCTCCCACTCCCTCTGTGGTATGCACCACACGCGCCCCTTCGGCCGTGTAATAGGTTAGGGAGTTGGCTAGGAGATTAGAGGGTTCATTCATTCTTATTAGGACTCAGCCTTTTTTTTTTGTCGGCCTCAGTCCCTGTTCGGTCTGGTTCAGTGACTTTCTTTTTCGTCCGAGTGTATCTGCCAGCAGAGTAGGACCGATACAGGTCCAGTGGCCCAACGACACGTTTAAGCGCTTGCTCCAAACCAGTGAAAGTTGTATAAGCAATGTTCGATCAGCAGGAAACCACAAAAAAGTACGGCTGCTCGCCCTAGCCAGCGACCGCCGAGCTGCTTGGGATCCTCAGATACTTTACACAATGTATCTCACTTGTTTCATTAATGAGACGGAAAGAAAGAAAGAAAGAAGGAAAGAAAGAAAGAAAGAAAGAAAGAAAGAAAGAAGGAAAGAGAGAAGGAAAGAAAGAAAGAAAGCGGCAAGCTTCTCACATTGCGTCTACTTTCAATTCTAATTTGTTGGATTGATCGATGCTGAGGCTTTCTTTTACGTAGAGGCCAGGTTCCTTGGTGCCAGCCTTTCTCAGTTTAGGCGCCAGTCCTACATTTCGATTCAGGTTTGGACGCCATACTTTCCTTGTCATTTTGTGTGGTAGTGAGGTCTTGGCACCAGTTTCAGGTTCAGTTTGGGCACCAGACTTTCCTTCTTTCAGGTTCACTGGGTGCCAGACTATCCTTCCTTGGCCTAGCAGTAGTAGGCCCAGCTGTTATATATAGCTGGGCCAGCCTCATTTCAAGGCACACAGCTTTGGAGGTTGGGGTCTACATCCTGCTGGGCAGCGCTGTTTCCAGTAGAGTTCTGCAGAGTAGGGGAGGAGGAGGACTGAAGGCGGAGGCCAGTTAGAGGAAACTCACCTGCGGACTTACCTGGCGCCATAGCTCCTGTTCGTCCTACTAGGACATCTTCCACCAGCATCACAGCCCCAAGGAGACTACTTTATGTTGGTCAGTATCTGGCTCCACCTTGGAGAGACAGTGAGAGGATTCTTCTTTGTTCTTCTCTCTTCCTCCATCTCCATCACTCCTCCTCCTCCCTCCGTCCGGTGCTTCTTCTTCTATGAGAGAGAGAGAGGTTGTGCGAGTTGAGACTTGGTGACATTGGACTCAGACCAATATCTGCACAGAGACATTGGGAGACTATTGTGGCCGACATTGTTGAGTTGATGACAGCTCGATATCTCTCCCCCTTCGTCTCTTCTCCCTCCTCCTCGTCTGTGTATGATCCTGACCACGACACTCTTCTTCTATGTGTACGGTGCCATGGCCCATCCCCTGCATTGATGACGAGTGAGTTACAGTCTGGCTGAGTCGAATTGAGTCAGATCTGTGTGTATCAGTCTTCTACTGCATTGTATTTTGCTCATTCTCCTTGGTCGGTTTTTTGGTTCTACGCCATGCCAATCTGATTGATTCGGGCATGCGACACCCTCTCTACCTCCCTCCCTCTCTCTCTCCCCCTCTCCCTCTACCTCTCTCTCTCCATGTCCCTCTCTCTCTCCCTCTCTCTCTCTCTCTCTCTTCTCCCTCTCTCTCCTTCTCCCTCTTCCCCTGTCCCTCTCTACCTCTCTCCCCCCCTCCCTCTCTCTCTTCTGCTCCCACTCTCTCTCCCTCTCTCCCTCTCCCTCAGCACCACCTTCTTCCATCGTTAGAATCAGACTGTCTTTGGCCTTGAGTTGGCCAGAGATGGTGCGTCCCTTCCACATTTTCCCCTCTTATAGATCCTTGTGCCAGACCGCGGTGCCGTGCGCATCGGTCCCGCAGGGTCACCCCTCTCTCTCTTTCTCTCTCCCTCTCTGAAAGCAATTACTGCTGCAAAGTTCGATGGGCAGGATGGTGAGTACTAAGAAGCTAAAGAAGGGATTTCGCCATTGTTAGTATATTTACGAGATAATTGTAATGTTATTATTAAGGGCAGATGTGCAATGGATGAGTGTTATGTTTTAATGATTTTAAAAGGGCCATTACGATTCAGGCCCGTAAATGTGACCCCCGCATGAAAAGGGCCCTCTCGGCTTGAACTCAGTTTCACGAGAAACATTCCAAAAGACAAGTTCCTGAGGAAAATGTCGCATCCATAATAAACTGAAAAGTCGTTTTGAACAGTCACGAGCAGGTCCTGGACGAACAGGTATTGGACACAGATTTCAAGACTGAGTTAGGGTCATGTCTGCTCGACGATAAGTCGTGTCTGTTTGGCAATAAGTCAGAGGCCACAGTCCCAGTCCAGTCAAAGTCTCACGGGTCAGTCCTGATTCAGACCAGGAGTCCAAAAGACAGGCCCGATGGCCCAAGCAGCAGCAGACCATGGGAAAGGATACTGGGACACACACTTTGCAACAACAGGTACTGGGCAGGAGTCCCAGACACGTGGAGGCCGAGTTCAGACCTCGCCAGTCCAGTCCAGCACTATAAACTTATAAAGGACTGGCCAGCCTCCTCATTTGGCAGATGCTCACTTCGCATGAGAGTGTGGAAGTGCCGTGGCACTTGTGCGCTAGATGTGTGTGAGCTGCGCTAGGCTGTGAGCAGCGCTAAGTGTGAGAGAGAGAAAAGA